AGAGTACCCATTTATCTACTCACGTGAGTTTTCGACCTGTTGGGTTGACAGGAACTTCCTTAAAGAAAAACAGCTAATTTTTGGTGCCCCTGAAAATCATTGCTTTCCCATCAACAGTACATGCTTCTCATCCACAAATCATGTTTTATGTACATCTCACATATATCAATAACTTTTTTAATGTGACATTTGGATATGGAAAAAAAAAAGATTTATTTTCATCATGTTAAGCTTTATTTTGTAGTCATATCCATTTCTTTCTTTCTCTTTTAAGAGATAAATGTATTTCCATATGATTTAGAAAACAATTCAGATCCTCAACAGAAAGGGCACAGTGTAAAGAGAATTAAACTGGTGGGTAGACTATAGTATTTTTAAAATATAGGTTGAAGCATATTTTAATAGCATTTATTCTTTTCTGATTTAATCCTGTGCATGTTTATCTTTTCTTTCAAATAATTTATTACTTTTTGTTTCTCATTTCTTTCTTCATTTACCTGAATTCCCTCTTTTCCCCTTGGCTATTCTCCTTGGCCTACTCCAGTTCTCTGCCTCTGAAAGCTTCAAAGAATGACAAATCCAGAAGTTTGAAAAAAATGTCCCGGTAAGAATGCAAAGATGTCAACATACTTTTGTCTCTTCATTTTAATGAAGGTTCTTCATTCCATTCTAAGAAGAGAAGGGTTAATTTAACATTACCATAATATACTTTTAATATTTATTTAACAGGTGTTGGCAAAGTATGGCTGTCCAAAAGTTTTTAAACTATGAGCCCTAAAATCTAAATTCGAAATTACTGTTAAACACAAATCAGGCAGATGGATACTGCTGGATCATACACCGTTCAGAATTCGATTTGTGCTTTAGAAATAATCTGGGAGCAACTTCCCTCTCTGCAACTTTTTAACATCAACATCTTTTCCTGGGATTGCGTTGCTGTCCTCTGCAACTGCCATTTGAAAAGAGGCATCTGTTTTAAGGAGTAGTATACAGCTGCCACGTTCACACTCCAAAGCATATTTTGGAATAAAATTGGAAATATTGCACAGCCATATTAATTTTACAGAAAGCTGCAAAACATGGACAACAGATTCCAAATGCTGTGGAGTTCCAGATTTGCTATCCAAATTTATCACATTTTTCAGATAAGCCATTTTTTTCTTTTACTCTGATAAATAACTTGTTGGTCTTTAAAACTCAATATGCAGTTAGATAGGTTTACCTTTTTATAACTTCCAAAAGTCAGATTTAATCTTTTATCAGGCTTTAGCCAGAACCACCTAAGAGGAGACAGTAAGGAATGTAATGTGCTTTCCTTTTCAATTCAAAGTCCCTATTAATCAACTGGTGATATTGGCACCAGTTGATCTCATTCTTACAAGGCCAGCCAAGTAAAGTCAAGCTGTATTTGTGGCAGGAGGCAGCTTTCTTCTTGCACAGAAGGGTGCAAAACTGTAATCAGAAATAACTTGGGAATTACAAGGAAATCCTGTTGTGTGTTCTGGACTTAGTCTGGACTCAGTCCAGAGACACACTGGATCATCTCCTTTTTCTTTCTTTCTTTTTCTATAGATGGGATAGGTCAGTTTAGGAAACTGAGATTTATTTAGAGGTACTGTACGTCAAGATGGACAGTTGCTTACACTATCAAATCAAAAACATTGTCCATCGATTCCATCTTTTTTTCTTTCTTAATGCTATGGAGAAAGAAAAATTTAAAGAACTCGTAAGGAAACTTAGAAGGACAATAGAAATGCATGGGAGGACTCTATTGCTTACGATTCTGAGAATATAGTTGTTGATTTTAAAAATAAAATAAAATCTAATTGAAATATTAGGATATCCAAATAGTTGCTGACATTTCATATATCACTTAAAAGTTAAATGCTATCCTTTCTCTAAGAATTTTTAAATCAAATCAGGAGCTACAAACTTGGCTTTTCCTGCCCATTAGATCTTCTTTACTTTGTTCTCTATCAGACCCAAACACAAACACTGAAAGAAAGGGAGGAATAAATAATATATTATTCAACTTCAACATTCAAATGCCTCATGGATTTGATGGACTTACATCTTAGATATGATTTAATTTGTCTAGTTCAAGTTATGAATTAAGAATTTAATGAAGAATGAAACAGCCGTCTCTTTTTAAAGCCCACTTTTTAAATAACCTTGAGGGATCGTTGTATCTCAAATATATAATTGTTGCATTATTAAGATAAGGAAGAAATCAATGTGGTATAGTTAATGATTTTTAAAATGTTCTGTATTTAATTTCTAGGGAATTTATCAATTATATGAAACGATCCAGAACTTTTTATGCCTCTTTGACAGAAAGGCTCTGTGAAGGTGATCTCGTGATGAAAGACAGCTCAACCTGCTGGAATGGCGAGGATGTTGTAGAAAGGTAATTGTGAAAGATTTCTAGGAGGGAGCACATCTTGATATTGATCCTTTTCCACTGATTTTTCTAATGTAATATTCAAAAAGGTATTTTAATTGCATGAATTTCTGTATTGGGGATAACACTTCATAGTGCTTTCCAGGTTGCCAAAAAGAAGTATCTTGTACAGTATCTATGTTGCAGAAGTGAATCTATGTGTGCAAGTTGAAATATCTTGTTTCTGCATACCACAAATGGTTTCCAACTACAATATGTTTGGGTAGAAGCATTAGTGAAGCTCTGAGTCTATTACCCAGGCAAGCCAGCTCAACTTAGAATAATTGTGACTTAATTCTTGTCAATTTGTACTTAAAGAGACAAGACTCGTCTGTTAAGCCGTAATTATCCATTAAATGTGTTACTTTAGATTTATTGCATTCCTTGCTAGTTCTCCTGAATCACAGAGTTATTCCTAAAAGGGATTTTTTAACCTGTTAAATGGAAGAGAAGGCATTTAGCTGGTGCTTCAAAACAAGACAAAATAGTGTTGTTTTATCTGGTTGGTAAGGAAAAAATGAAATAGTTTGTTTTGCAATTTTGATTAGAGTTTTATTGTATCGCGGTTAAAGTCTGAAATGGAATACAAAGGCTAAGAGATGAATACAGTAGCTAAGAAGTGCCAGCCAATATTAGTGATTTCCTTTATATTAAACATTGTGATCTTTCATCTGATTACCAGATGTTTCGCTACAGCCATTTTTGGGTACACTTGAATATTCATCATTGATTTTATAGCACTTAATTTTTTGACAAAAGATGATATTATGATCATATAATTTATTTATTTAAATGTTTTAAAGTGCACAATGGCCAAAGCTCTCTGGACAGTTTACAGTAAAACACATAAAATAGAGTCTGAATAAAAACATACATAATTAAAAGGCAAAATATAAACACTGCATAAACTAGGCAGCTGCAAGGCAGTTCTGCTTAGACTAAAACATTATGAATTAAAATACAATTACAAGATGGTTAAAAAGCCAGGGAAAATCGAAGGGTCTTCACCTGGCACCGAAATGAAGCTAGTGTGGATACCAGTCAAGTTTGTCTGGGGTGGGAATTCCATGAATGGGATGCCACCACAGAAAAAGCTCTCCCCCATGTAGAGGGCCACTTCACTTCCTTTGGTGAGAGAACCTGAAGGAGGTTCTCATTAGATGACCTTAAAGTCCAGGTAGGCTTATAAGGCACTCCTCCAGGTAACCTGGTCCTAAGCCATTTAGGGCTTTAACGGTCCAATCCAGCACTTTGAATTGTGTCTAGAAATGAACTGGCAGCCAGCGTAGATGGAGAATATGTTTATATGCGTCAGAGTCAGTGAGCAGTCTTAGCCATTCTAATTTGAACAAACTGAAGTTTTGTAATGGTATGTGGGAATGAACTGGGGAGACAGAAGGAAGAGCTGCTTGGTCAGACAAGTTGCAGCTGAGTCCACAGAAGGAATGGGGACATGGCCAGTGTCTCAGAAGAGACCCTCTCTAGTTCCTTGGACTGGAGAGGCAATGGGGAAGAGATGTACTTTCAGACTTGCAAGCTTCTGTTAATGTAACCTTATAATAAAGATACAGCTATTACTTCTGGGTGTGCTTCTTGTCTGGACTACCTTGCAAGGCTGACACATTTTCAAATGCAGCCCCATGTACAATGCAATCTCAAATAGCTTGAGAGTTTTTAGTTCACCAACATTTAAAAAAGAAAATGTGTTGCAGTAAATAGGCAGTGATTCTATCTTGCACAGATCAAATTGAAGATATGACAAAAATTAGAATGATTTTGGGAGGAGCCAGCATCTACAAAGATGCTCTTTTGGGTAGCTAAGATGATTAAGATGTAAAATGGGCTGTGTCTTTATAATACAAATCTTGCTATATCACCATAAAATTACAAAATGATTATTTTCAACGAATTAGGAATAAAAAGTGATGAAATGAATGAGAGAAGTCTATCAATACTGCTTTACCTGTTTGGTTAAGAAATACGCATCTTAACTAAATAGCACTTAACAAAAAATGGACTATTAATACAATACAGAATAGTAATAATGCTATTCTGTTAGTCAGCAACAGTACATTTCAGGAAAAAAAAACAATCCTATGATCTAAATAGCTTGATGTTTTTAAAGATTTCTCCTTAAAAAATATTTTTTTCATAAATTGCCTGGTTTCATAAAAACTGTGAAAAATGCATGTTAGACACAGCTGTGAAAGTTTGATCACACAAAGATTTAGGTTTTCCTATTCAAATGATCAGAATACTTTTTATGGCTTTCCTTTTCATTATTATTTTCATTTGGAATTAGCTGAAAAAACCTCTGCCCTTTCACTAAGATGGCCTTAAAAATTGCTTATGCTATTATTATGGCTAATGCTTGACTACAGTGGATGTGAGCTTAATAGACAAACCTTTAAGAACAAAGTGGAATTTTATCCACACGAAGAATAATTCTTAACCATAATTAAGATCAGTAGTGGAAAGTTGGGGATATTCAGGCAATGGGTGGAGGAATGTTTGGAGAGTAGATTGGATTAAAGTAGTTTGAGGAGGCCTTGGAGAAAGTGATGGATTGCCTCCTTCTTTAGCGGCTCACCTTCCTTCATTTCTAAAACTGGTAGGCTCTAGGCTTCCTGGGTGGTACCAGCAGCTGTACTGGTCGCACTTCCACATGCTCTGTGCAGTACGGAGAATTCAGTCTAGCCAAGATTTGATTTTTCCATAATCATAATCATCAGAGCAAAAAGATTAGGTTTTGGCTAATTTGCTAATTGAAGACACTTTATGTTTGTACTATCAATGGGTTAGGGCAAAGAGATGTAGATGAATCACATATGAAATTCCTGCTGAACTGGTACTTAGTTTGGTGTAAATTCTGTCATGGCAGAATTAACTTCCTAAATGTAACAAACACTGTTTGACCTCTTCATTTTAAGCAAAGATAATCTCTGTCTGTGACAGAGCATGAAAAATTTACCTGTTTACAGTCCTTATATCTGACTCTGTGTGCTGTTTTACTGTGTGTTTGCTTTCTAGATCAATTTTGGACCTGCTTGCTACAGATTTAGTTATGTACATTTTAACTTACCAGAAAAATGTAACTCAATGAGACAAAGGATTGTTTTAAATAAAGGGTCTTTGTTACTTGACAGTGAGATGGCATATATTTCACTTGAGCAATCTGATTAGGGGCTTAACAGTTCAGTAGCTTTCCAAAAGGTTATATTGAAACTCAAATTGATGTATCTTAGAATTCCATTTTAAAAAGCAAACAATATTCATACAGCTGTTACAATGTGATCAAACAAGCAGGGATATTTTTCATGTGAAGCTTGACGTGTTTTAAGCATATATTGTCAAGCTATTGGATATACTTACCGGCTGTATGAATTTTTGGAAAAGAGCTTTACTTCTGTGAAGCTGCAAGTGAAACACCCTTTCTAAATGCCTCAGGAAAAAACTACAGTGACTCATTTCTAATGGGTGAAATACGATGGCCGCTGTGCTTCACTTCACTCAGCAAGTGGCATCTGTGTAGCACACATACAGGAACCACTTTCATCAAAGCATAGAAGGGACTGTAATACATAAGGCCTATTTGCTTACTCTTCTGTTACTGAGAAATGCAAATACGTAGTCTGTATTTAGATCCCATTAATTTCTTATGGTAAACAAATAGCAAACAATGCCACAGAATCCCATGCTATCAGTGGCCAAATACTACGGTAGTAATTTTGAACTAATAATTGTGTTTTACAGAATGATAAGGAAGGGAGGCTCTAGTTTCAGAAAATGTCAGATGTAATAGTCAATGGTTGCATCCTGATTCTCACTGAATTTTCAGTGAATTGTCCCACTGAGTTTGGGGGAAAAAAGAAACAGTTAAAGTTGCTATTCAATACCCTATTAGAGAGCCCAACCGAGTTATTGCAACTTGCTTCTGAATAAACACAAACAGTAAATCAGCCTGGATTTAATTTTTTAATAAACCCCTAATTAAAAAAAAATACAAAAGGCATTGTATGAAGTGGTTATAGATATGATGAAAATAAGGATGCTGTACATGATAAAAAAGTATGGAGTTAAATATCACTTTAACTAATAGTACTACAAATAATAATAACAACATTGACCCCTTGGATAGTCCCATCAACCCTTGGGGGTCAATATTGACCACTTTGGAGAACCCTGCTTGGGAGACAAACTCTTATTCAACATAAACAATTGTTGATTCTTTTTGAAGTACACAGGAAATCTATGTATAATGTAAGGAATTTGATGGGATGAAACAAGCTGAAATTGAATCCCAAGCCACAAGATAGAGTTGCTATTCATCCAGAAATGTTTGGTTCATGGTTGGCTTCTATGTTGGCTCTGGAAGGGGTCACACTGCCTCAAAGATGGGTCCATGGTTGGGGGTTTCTCCTGGTTTCTTGGCTCCTACTGAAGCAGCAGATGTTGCTCTCATCTGAGAATATTCTTAGTAACTTACAGAAACTGATTTATGAGTTCTCATGTACTGTGGAGATTTTTTTTAAAAAAGATCTGTGTTAGGAATGAAGTTGGAAAAACAAGAACTAGTAATTCCCATTATGGCAACACATCATTTGCTCCCCATGGTCTTGAAAAGAACAGTAGAAAATCCACTGATTTAGAAAAGTAAGAAGAAATAACCTAGGATTTAAACCTTGGAGCATCTATCTATGTATAGGCTTTGATTGCCATGCTTTGCAATAGGCAGATCTTCTGTTGTGTACAGCTTCCTTTAGTCTTCAATAAAGTAACTGATCTAGCCAAATTATATCCATGAGCCTTCTATTGAGTAAGCCAGTTCCTGAATAAGGAGTCTCCTATATGGAGAACTGAGATTTCTAGCCATGCATGGAGGAATTGATGTAAGAGGAACTGCACAATGTCAAAAACCCTCTAACTCTGGCTGGAACTAATATTTTCATTTATTTATTTATTCATTT